AGTTTAAGTTTAACTTCGGTTTTTCCGTTTCAACTGACACGCTGGCGTTATGTTACTCACTTAGTCAATTAATGTTAACTTTGACTTTGACATTCGAAAAATGAAAAAACGAATACAAGAAAACATCCGTAATAATATATTATTATTACTATTTCAAACACCCTTCTTTATGTGAGTGTAAACTGTAGACCAATAATATTAATTAACAAAAAACTAAAATGTGATGTAATGTTAAACGTTAGGTGTCCTACTTCTACTAGTTCTAGGCGCCTGATTTCATAGTCTTTTTTTAGCTACTATTTTTTTTTTACGTTTTATCAATACTAATAGTTGATAAATACCAGAAGATTATAGGTCGGCCAATGTTACTCCTCTTTCCAAGGGAGGTAATAAAAATTCTCCCCGTAATTATAGTTTCATTAGTCTTATATAAATGGAGGGAAAAGTTTTTGAAAGTGATAAAAGATGCATTGCAAAGTCATTTAACAAAGTTTAAAATTTGTTGGGCAGCGAGCTTGGTTTCACAAAGGGAAAATAGTGCCTTGCTAATCTTTTGGTACATGGTGCATTAACACCTAGTTCCCATACTTAGAACTCACTTGGTGCATCACGTTGTGAACGACCCAGATACATCACTTGTGAATATATTGTTACGTCTGTGTTCGTTTGTTAATTTTCCGTACCAATTCTTTCCAAGAAACTTCTACGATACAAGTCCTTTCTTAAATAAAACTAATTTATTCTTTCTCAATTCAACTTTGCAATACACTTAATTTCCACAGCCACTTTAACTTAAACACATGCTATAATTCACAACGACACACGCACTTTACTTACGGTCACTACCGCTCACTTCACTCGATTAACGGGGTCTATTTATATCTTCAATCTCTCTATCTGCTACTCCAATTCCGATTAATTCTCTCGCTTTATTTGCCGCGCTTATATACAATAAGAGCGCGCGTCTAGCAGACGCTAGGATGTTCGACAGGCTCCTCGATCTTTCTAGAACTTCAGCGCATGCTCCCAGCGTCGCGCGACTTCCGCTGTCGTAACAATATAAACACTACTATTGAAGTACGAGGATTTAAATTCAACATTCGCATAAGAAAGTCCTTCACTTTTACATCCAACTATCTCACATATTTTAATGTTGTGGGCATCTATTTGAAAGACAAACCATCGCCTCGGAGACAAAACACGGGAACATATGAGTGACATAATGATACAAAACGAAGATAATCCTAGTGGACATAACTTTAATAGTCCAGAACATTGTAAGAGTGATTTTTCTGTAGTGGAGCTCAAGTATGTACTTTTGGACATCATTAAAACAGCTCATCCCAGGTCTGTCTAGCAGCTAAGGCTTCAGTGTAATGACCATAGAGACATTATTGCTGAAATAGCCATCTCTCCATCTCACACTGCAGTATATCATTAGACTTGGGAAAAAATCTATTGCCTATGCTGTGAAAGGATGCCTTATGTTAGAGCAGCATAGATGAGAAGTATACACCTCCGGCAAGATCACAACATGAACTTGGCGAAAAATGTGTTCCCAAAGCTAGTAAGGAAGAAATGTAAAACCCTGGAAGTCACAGTACACCCATCTACCAAAAGAAAAGGAAATATGTAGCAGCTGAAATTCTTATTCCATATGGGCCCCAGAATCCTCATCCACCACACCCCCAATAGCGCCTACAATAGTTTTACCCCCTGAACATTGAAAAAAACACTATATTTAAGCAGTATTATAAGAGGTAAGCAGCTAAGTCGATTAATGCTTTAGATATGGGCTACAATGAGAAAGATAGAAATATATATATGGACTATGGAGTAGATCTAAACATAAAAAACATCTAAGAAAGTGTGGCAGTTGAAAGTAATGTTGGCCAAAATAACCTTCAATGAGCTGATGGACTTCTTAAAAAGATGGTTTACAAAGGTCTTCCATTGCAGTAGCAAGGTGGTCTCACCTCTGTAAGTCTTCATTGCCATTCTATAAAATAGCATATAGTACTTAATTACTTAATACATTGTAAATATTTATATAAATAACTTTATAAATATAACTTGTAAAGAGTTATAAAATTACTTTACCCAGTTCGTATGACTTGCAAAAAGCATCAAGTACTACTTTTCTTTTTCTTTTCATTAACGTGGCTTCTGACAATCTTAAGTGAAACTGTCTTGGAAGAAATCAAAAGGTACATGTTTGTGTGTGATTACCTTTTATGACTTTTAATTGTGATTATTCACTAGTTAAATAATTATACCTTTCTTTCACAGTAAAAATGTGTAAATGTTTCAAGTATAAGTGTATACCTAATAACATACTGACTAAACATTTATGCATAATGTACATTGGTTGCCCACTTTACTAGGACTTATACCTCATAATGGGTTAGACCATGATACATAGAATCCAAAAGGTACTGGGGAAATTTATTCCCATTCAGTTATTAATATTGTATTCAACTAGCAGAATTGCTGTTTGTGCTGGTAATTACTAGTATTCATACCTCACTGAAAAAATTAAGAAAAAGAGAACATCTTCTATAAAAGGACTTTTCTTGGAATAACTGCACGGCAATGTTCGGATTTTGCTGATATAAATTGTAATGCTTTGATATACTAAAAGTCGTACCCATTATTGAAAAAAGAACATTTTAAGCTACATTTTTTAGTACTATATTTACAAATTACATAAATAAAGATAGATTCAAACCCTCAAGTACAGTCCTAGTGAAAGTCGTATTCTTGTTGTGAGAAGAGTACTTTTATTTAAAATTGCGTCTTGTGATAAAGAAATGGTTGTTACATATCGTAGTTATTTTTCTAATTGTCTGAATCTTGAATACCCAAAGTGTTAAATATTTATGGGTTTGTTTGTGGTGTCATTCAATAGATGGCGCTATATCGTATATGACGGGCAAATTATTTCGGGTAAGTACATAGATAGATACAAATGTACACGCTACGTCCATTATAGTACGATTCATGGAATAAGGTAGACAGAGAATCGTAATGGCGAATGTGTCCTTCAAGTTCATTCCAAAGATTCCCAATTGGGTTAAGGTCCAGAGAATGTGATGGCATGGAAGTGCTTGAAGCTTACATCGCATTCTTCAAACCATGCACACACAGTTTACACATTGAGGATGTAAGCTTTGTCGTCTTGAAAGTAGTTTTCCCCATCAGGATTTATGAAGAAAGATAAGAGGCTCTCCAATAAAGAGAAACTTGAGCTTGGAACAATCAATCTTAACAAATAATGTTTCTTTGTTAGTTTTTAAACTTCTATTTTTAACCACCATTTGCTCATAACACATATTCTTACAGTTTTTTTTTCTTTGTAAGTTTCTTGTAATATGTTTTTTATTCCTTGCATTGTTATCTGAACAATGAAAATTTTTATTTGTTTATTTTATCAAAGTACTCAATACATTCAGAACAATTATTCCCGATAAAATGAAACGCAAAGCGACACCCATTCACAAAATATAAATATAATATCCGCAGTGTGCATTTTAAAGGCCTAAATCTTTTTCATTTGCCAGTGGTTGTAGTTATATTTCAAAAACA